TTTCTATTTTTACAGCAACCACGGCAACACTGTTTATCGAAATCAAAAACCGATATAGAAAATTATGTACCTCAGTGTAGTCTACTTGTGTGCAAGTTATATTGAAATCAGACCAAAACTGTAGGAGGAGTAGCATTTTAAAGGAATTTCACAGAAATTTCTATTTTTAGTAACCACGGCAACAATGTTCATCGAAATCAAAAACCGATATACAGAATTATGCATCTTAGTGTTGTTTACTTGTGTGCCTAGTTAAATTGAAATCAGACCAAAACTGTAGGAGGAGTAGCATTTTAAAGGAATTTCACAGAAATTTCTATTTTTAGTTACCACGGCAACACCATTTATCAAAATCAAAAACGAATACACAGAATTATGTATCTTAGTGTAGTCTACTTGTGTGCCAAGTTATATTGAAATCAGACCAAAACTGTAGGAGGAGTAGCATTTTGAAAGAATTTCACAGAAATTTCTATTTTTAGTAACCATGGCAACAACGTTCATCAAAATCAAAAACTGATACACAGAATTATGTATCTTAGTGTAATCTACTTGTGTGCCAAGTTATATCGAAATCAGACCAAAACTGTAGGAGTAGTAGCATTTTAAAGAAATTTCACAGAAATTTCTATTTTTAGTTACCACGGCAACACCGTTTATCAAAATCAAAAACCGATAGACAGAATTATGTATCTTAGTGTAGTCTACTTGTGTGCCAAGTTATATTGAAATCAGATCAAAACTGTAAAAGGAGTAGCATTTTGAAAAATTGTTTACAGACAGACGGACAGACAGACAGACAGGATCGGACAGACGGACGGACGCCGGACGCATTACTATCGCATAAGCTCTTCTGGTCTCTGACCAGTAGAGCTAAAAATGATATCGACTGATTCGAATTATCAATTAATTACTGTATTTAAAACTGACCTGATCTGTTCAAACATTACAGAGTTTGGGAGATTAATGATTGAATTCTTTACTTCAGCAGTGTTTGTATATACAACAAATAATCTCAAATTTATTTTCAACATTAAATTTTGTTTCATTATATAAATCAAAGGATTGGAGGCATCGGATTTCCTCCCATTGTGGTAATTCCTATGTCTTACAACTACAACATGCTTTTATGCCCCGGGTAATCAAAAATTTAGGGAACATACTTTTAGTCCTGCTCGTCGTTCTTGTCCTCTTGTCTGCTTATCTGTTTGTCTGCAAAAACCACCAGTTGAGAAACCCTGACCCAGAGACCATGCATTAAAATTCACAAGATTGGAAGAAGCCCCCTTCTCCATCATACTTATGTACAAAGTTCATTGGCTTAAAACCAAGTGATGAGAAGATTTTAAGGAATTAATGAATTTTCACTATAATAATCAATAATGCCACAGTTTAGTTTGAGGCAACCTTCCTTATCATAACTATACATTTAGTTTGTTTTCATGATATCCAGGGGCAGAGGAAAAGGTTTTCAAAGAATGAATGTATTTTTACTATATAATCATTAGAGCCCCACCCTAACACCAGAACCCTTGACAGAGCTGCCAACATTCAGAAATGAAAAATAGTAAGGCGGGGTCCGGGGGCCGCCTAGGCCCCCGGCCGCTGGAGATTTTTTGTAAAATTACATGCAATCGGATCAATTTTAGGCATATTTCAGGTTATTTATTCAAGTCATAAATTATGTTAATGATCTACTGTATAATCAATTAAAACAGAAGAGTGCATATTGAATTCTTTTTTATAATAGTAAAATCATACACAATTTCATGTCAACAATTAAATCTTGTTTCCAAAATCTGAATAGATGTATAAACCTATTTTGTTAAAGACACATAGGTGGCACCCTTTGCCTTTTGAATGAATTCCTCAGTAAATTGCTGTTGATAACACAGTTTTCCTTTGGAGGACATGCTCATTTTGTTCACAAGGATTGATTCTAGTGTTGAAGTTTTCATGGATCCTCTAAAATCTGTGTGGTTCTTCCGAACTAAGGAAAAAACTCGCTCACATCCTGCATTACTGTGAGGAATACAAAGAATAGACTTCATTAGTTCTGAAAGTACTTTAAATTTCAATCCTCCCAACTCATTTTTTATCTGCCCAATAGCACACCAGCACTGAGTGATTGGTAAGCTCAAATCAACTTCTGACAATTTATCAGACTGGTAGAAATTGAATTCTGTTTGAAGATTGTTCATCATTTCTGCTGTTGTAGTTCCCTCTTTTTCTTAAGAAATGTTCAAATTTATCTGCAAAATACACCACAGAATCAAATGACTGATCACTCCTTTTCTCAATGTCAGCTACTTCTGCATGTTTCAGGGTAACATCTGACAAGGGCAATTTTTGCTTCATGTAATCCAAAGCTGTCACATAATATTCACGAACATGTTCATAAAATTCATCTTTTCCAATTTGTTTAAGTTTTTCAAGGAAAGGTTTCACCTCGTACCCTACTACTAGGCTTTCATTTTGAAACTGTTCATCCTTATTCTTGTAATCTACCCATAAGATATTTTCTTCTTTAGCAATACAGCCAGGCTTAACAAGTCTTTGCAAAATTTCTTTGTAAAGAGACAATAGAATCCGCTGCAATTTGTGTATTAGAGGCTCCTCAGCCTGAAGCATAGTATTAAATTTGTCAAACATCTGTACGTAATTCTGCAAAAACACAGCATACACGGCACAACGTCTAGAGGTCAATAGTTTGTATAGCCTTTGTTCCCGTATATAAGTTTTATTTTCTTCTGGTAATCCAGTTTCTTTACCAACATCAGATTTTGGAATTGTTTTATTTGTTTTCTTAACAGATGTTCAGCTTGTTTGACTAGCAAAACTGAGAACAGTCTGTTGTTTATGCACTGAAGATTTTTCTTTACTTTCTTGTTTTTTTTGTTTAGTACAAGTCTTACGTTTGCCATCACCATTTTGTTTGCCAACTACATCTGATTCACTTAACTTTTTTGCATCCTTTTTTGGTTGTGTACCACCTTTTTGTTTGTCGTCCTCTTTCATTTTGGGTTTGTCATCCTCTTTCATTTTGGATTCAAAATATTTCCTCAATGGAACCCATTGTTCAATAACTGTACTGAGCAGCACCCATTGACAACCATCTTGTGCACAGATGTTTTCTTTAATATTCTTTGTGTTTCTGTATCATTCATGCTCTGAAATTGAGTAAGTTCTTGTTTTCTATTTGCTGATTTTTCAATATAATAAAATAAATCAACTAAAATTTCATCGAATTGATAAGGCAAAGTTTTTGCAGCCTTTTCAGCTGCCAGATGAATTAAATGACATGGGCAACCACGAATAATCATTTTGCTGTTTTTTTTTAACAAAAATCCTGCCTCCCTACTCCTTTTTTCTTTCCAATCATAACATTGGCATTGTCCACTCCAAGTGAAACACAGTTTTTTATGTCAAGTCCATTTAATTCAAGTTCACTACACAATAAATTTGCTATGTTTTCACCAGTAGATTTCCCTTCCAAGTTTGGAACAGATAAAAGACAATTAACTATTTTTGAAAGTTCTTCATCTAAATATGTTATCACGATTGGATATAGTTTCATGTCAACATCGTTACTCCCGTCTGTTGATACAGTGTAGGCTTTTCCCTTTAAATCTAATACCATGGATTGTCTAACATCTTTTGACATTTCGTTTATGATTGACGTTGTTTTAGTGCGGCCACAACTGTACTTTTTGGCCATATCAGAGTCGGGAAACATCTTAGGAAAAAGTTTTGTAGCATGGTCTGCAATATTTATTGGAAGATTGTGTTCAATAATAAAGGACGTAAATAAACATTCTGATTTCAATGTTGCAGAAGAGTCCGATTTTTTAACGAAAAAATTGTCCATTTTTTTTAGATGAACATGTGCTTTTACATGTCTGTTGATGTTTATTAGTCTTTAAATGTTTCTTTATATCGTTTTCTCCCCCATGGGAAATGTTGAAGTCGATCCCACAAACCATACACTTGGCATAAAACATACCTTTTCCCGATTTTGACACGCAGTCATACTTAACACTATACTCTTCTTTAAATTTTTGACTCCACTGTGTCTTCTTTTCGGGGGAGTATTTTCGTCCGCATTAGTAGCTTTCCTTTTCAAAGATTCAGGAGTCATCGCTCCAGACCGGTACTACGAATCACCGGAATGCCCCGTAATCACCGAAATGCCCCAAGAAGAAATCACCGAAATGCCTCCAAAATGCCCCTAATTTTGTAACATATAAACAAAAATTTATAAATATTGATGATTTTAACTGTTCTAGAGCTTAGATACCGAATAAAAATTTCATAATTTTAGCGTAAGTATTCTTATTTGGACAGAAGATTGTGCATGTTACAATATCTAAGAAAGACTCTCACTGATTAAAGGCACGTGCCAAAATAGTCTTTTTTTATTTTTCTTTTCTTTTTAAATATATTCTAAACATAAGTAATATTTTTCATATCAATGAAAATTCTGTTGATAGGACACGGACTACCAATTATTTTGCTATACATTCCTTTATAACATAAAAAATCATTAAAAAAAATTCACCGCCTCAACTCACCTGAAATTTGGCACAGAGCTAGATCCATCCAAGGCCAAAAATATTCTCAAATCTCAGAAAATTCTGTAGTCTACAAGCCTTGCTATGGCGCTGCAATTAACCCCTACCCTGCATATTTCCATTTCCCTTTGAGAAACAGGTAAACAATGGCCTCTTTACACCCTTCCTACTACGCACTTAATAGCAAAATTCCCATTATTCTTAATTTTATAATTTTTTTCAGACCCTCTCCTTTCCATCTATGCCCTAAAATAACCCCATTCCACCCCATATACACCCCCAAGATTTTTTAAGAAAAAACCTCTATTTTTAATCTGGAACTCTTTGCGTGGTCAATGAAATAGGGGTAAAATTAGTATCCTGTAACCTAATAAAGACACTAACCTTCTCTGATTTTCATGAAAATTGGCACAGAATCTTCTAAAGCAATACTACACACCCCTCTGAAGTCTCATTGGATTTGTCATCTGAACAGCAGAGTTATGGCCCTTTTCAGTGATGACTGGATCTCCTGAAAACAGAGGATGAAATGAGCATCAGACACACAATGCACAAATTTGAAATACTCACATATCACATATGTTACAATAAATTTCTTACCAATTATTTTTTTCTATGATTTTAATATCCCCTCTACTTAATTCTGATAACAACTTTGATCAATTATGCTGATAAATATTCTTAAGATTTTTTTGAAAAAATACCCCCAAATATGGTGAAATTTCTTAAAAACTGCCCTATATAAAATATTAATCAATAGAAATTTACAAAATAAAAATTATTAAAAAATTCTACATTATATTGGCTATAAAAAACAATAGTAAGAGATAATAAAAAGAGATTAATCCCTTTGTTGTGAGCAGATAAGCAAACATGACCACAGCAGCCAATATCAGGAAGTGGCACTTACAGTCATGCTGGATTATCCCTGGTCACATTAAAAATGTCATGGATATATACAAGATGCCATCCTAAGAATAATCAAACATTAAGCACTATAAATATGGCTGAAATAAGAGAAACCAAGGCATCATTGCCTGAATCTGCAAGAATAAGTAGTATTCTACTCACCATCATGTTTAAGAAAAATATGGTTCCCTGGAACAAAGGGAAGCAACTCTGCAAGAGGAAGCTCCCAAGGCAAGGAGGATTTCATCAAGGAAATAGCCACGGCTTCAAGACGGAAAAACAGCCAAATTCTGGTCGAAGGTCATTTGTCAGGCTGAATTCAACAGATCATGCCCTGGTCACCAAACCAAGTCTCGACAGCCATTCATACCAAACTCCGGACTGCGACGGTGAGAGCGGATCAACCTGCATTCTGCGGCCACGTCCATCAAACTGCAAAAAACAAATACCAATGAGTAGCGAATACTTAGGCGGTCGACGTATAGTGGACGAAGAGAAGATGATGGAGATGATTAATCAAACCATACAACTTCACCAGTCTACCACTTGTACCGCACCGAACATTACTGTGCAGTACTCAAAAAAAGTAGGAATTTCCTGGAAATACTCACTGACTTGTGTTAATTGCCAGTTCAACTCACCCGAGTTTGCCCTATTCCAAGAAATTCATCAAGGGGGTCCTGGACGCAAAGCATCAGCATCAAACATGGCCCTGGCATATGCCCTTCAGGACACTTCACTAGGAGCTGAAAAGGTTATAGAATTCCTTAGCTGCATGGACATCCCACCTCCCACTAAGGCCTCTCTCCAGAAGCTCCTGTTCAAAATAAGTAAAAATATTACAAAGCTAAACAAAGAAGATATGCATCAGAAGATACAGAAAGTAAAACAGATCAACAGGACCCGAGGCCATCCAGCGGATGTCATAAACATCTCAACAGATGCCCGTTACAACAGTAACATCATGTTCAGCCGTAAGACTCCCGGAGAGTACGAGATGGGGAAGGAAATCGGCACACAGCTCGAATAACAAGATGTATTAGTCTGGTATAATACCGCAGACGGCCTCGCCCAAGATGGCAAAGGAGTGGACGAAGCCATGCGAGCTCTACATTCCCTGTGGAAAGTAGAGGTGTTGCCCACCCCGTCCACTTTGAGCCGTCACAGTTCCGTGCCAGCAACCGAGCAGTTTACAGTGATGCAATGTTCCATACCAAGACTTAAGAACAAACAAAGAGCTTTGAAGAGTATTAATATACAGCAATGATCTAAATTCAAGATCCGCTTTGATAGTTAAAAAACTGGTTACCATATTTAAAAGCGACTTGCAAAAAATGAGTGATTTCTTACCTGAAGCCCCTGAAGTCACTGTTCTGTGTTATACAGGTGATTGTTCAATGTATGTGACGTACTCTCTTGTGTGTGATGTTGGGTGTGTTTCCAAGTGATTGATTGTCAGCCGCAATCTGGCCAATTATAAAATTACAGCCCTTCAAATAAGTGAAATTGAAATTAAAGTTGTAGCAGAAATCCTTAAAATGAAACTGAGTTTAGACACCAACAATACCATGAAGCTGATGACTGACACAAATGCCAACGAGTCTTACCACCGTAGTGCCAATTGCAACATGCTCAAGAACATTAAGTTTTCTCGAATGGAGGGTCGCCTTTACTTCATGATACATAGACGAAACAACTTAGCTGGTACAAGTACATCAACGACACTGAAATGCGAATCTGCTGAAATATAGCACTCTGAACACGGAAAGCGACAACTTTATAGACTGCACCAGAAGTTCCTCTTTAATCAGGCCTATAACAGAAAAGAGAGTAAACAGGAGAAGGAACAGACTGCTGCCAAGGAAATGGCAGATCATTACCAGTACCGTGAAGAAGAGGAACTTCGGACTATTGCCAATGCCAACTAGATTATAACTCACCTGCTGCTCGTGATCACCCATCTCACAAGAATGGAGGATTACGGTACAATCTTAGGCCACATCGTGGAAGAGAGTGACTCGCTATGAACGTTTTAAAATTAGAAATTAGATGAAAATGACATTAATCATTATCTGTTAACTTTTTCATTTACAGATACTTATTTATTAACTTTGTGAGGAGTGATGCATGTCTCTCCCATCTTCAGCAGTGTAACATAATGATAAATGTGATAAACTTACCAAGGTTATTGTCATTCATGTGTAGCACGAAGCGACAGGGGAGGTAAGGAGCTGGGTGCCCCAGACAAGTGCCCCCGGATTTGAAAGTCTGTCGCTTATTTTTGATGCCATGTGGCTCCAGAGCAATATGTTCTGGAACAACACAGAGCGTGTTGTGGCATAAGTGAGATGCAACAATTGATGCATCCCACTCACGGTAATGATGATGAAATATGACACTGAGTCTATGCACATGCATCGTCTGCCACCTTTTCTTTATCGGATGCTTGTAGCACACAACACCATACTTAATGTTACTGTTTCTAGCCCCCGTCCAAATGCGACACTGTCCATTCAGTCAATGGACAGAGCCTGAGTTTACCTTGTGAACATACTTTCTGAAAAATGCGTCCATGATCAACTGATTTTAAAAGTAAATGTCAGCAGACGATAGATCAGTAGACCGAGGACAAAACTTATTCAACTATATCACGACGCATCTCATTTGCAGAAATTAGGTCAAACATTTTACTTAAGAATCTACCTCCCCCTTCTTCATACTGTTCACTCCCATTTTTCCTCCAAATTAAGTAATTTGTATAAATATTGTCATAATTAATCATTATTAGTCCCATATTATATGAAAATGATATTATAGTTGCTTAACGTGAGTTTTGACCTTTTACCTGATGGGACACAGACTACCAAAGATTTTGATGTATATTTCTTTAAAAAAAATCCTTTAAAATATTACCTGCCTCAACTCACCTGACATTTGGCACAGATCTAGAGTTAGAACAATTCAATTTTTAAAAAAATCCCAAATCTCAGAAAATCCCTAGTTCACAAGCCTTGCTATTGCACGGCAAGAAACCCTACTCTGCATATTTTTATTTCCTTTAGAGAAACACCTAAACCATGGTCTCTTTACATCCTTCCTACTACGCACCTAATAGCAAAATTCCCATTATTCTAAATTATATTTTTTTTTCAGACCCTCTTTTTTCCATTTATGCCCTAAAATAACCCCATTTCACCGCATATATATCCCCAAGAATTTTTAAGAAAAACCTTAACCGAGAGAAATCGTAAGGCGTATTTTAGACCCTGTTTTCGTATGCCTTACACCAAAATCGTAAGGGTTGGCAGCTCTGCCTTGACCTTGGGGCCATGAGTTTTACAATATTGATAGAGAACTCAATGCCAATTACAATCATGCCAACAGTTTGACTGCTTGATGTCCAGGAGGATTTTTGAAGATTGCATTAATTTTAACAAGGATTTGCCCCACCCTTCAGGCCCCAAGGGGGCAGGGACCATGAAATACATGTACACAATTTTTGCTCCTATAACCCATGGATGCTATATGCTAAAATTGATTCAGTGATTTCAGAGAAAAAGCTGAGAATGTTTAAATGTTAATGGACGACCGATGATAGACGGTGCACAAGGATGGATACAATTACCATAGATAGTTACAGGTCTCCAAAATAAAATTAAATTTACATTCAGTGTAATTTTCCTTATGAAATCCATTAGAAATCTACGACGTTCAAATTTCTATAACACAGTCGTGAAACCTTGTCACCGCGCGTTAGAATACACAGTAGGAACTATATGCATTTTCAATACTCTACGAACACCAAAATGTAAAATGCTTTATTTCAATTTAAGGTATACCTTTACTCAGAAATAAAAAAAAAATTTCCCCTGATAGGAACGACAAACCATAAAAAGTATGTTATAGACCCCAATCAGTAGTGTCATTTTTCACTTTGAAATATCTAGGTCAATGACCTACTTTTTTTGCTATTGGCCACCCAAGATTTCCCGGAAAATTCCCCCAAAATCAACACTATGGCCATTTTTTCCTTTTCAAGCAAAATATGAAAAGTATAAGAAATCTTTTAGTATATAAAATGTATTATATAATAGTAAGGGTTGCTAATTACCAAATAATTTTCAGATT